AAAATACTGTACATGATGTAAAAGAATACAGAAGAATGGAGAAGAATGAAGAATGCATCAAGAAAAAGAATGTAGTTGAAAAGAAGCAATGAAGAAAATAATTTTTTGATTGGAATGCTTTTTGCTTGGTTGCTTTTCGACTTCCTCCAAGAATCTAACTCAATTTCCTGAAATCATCTACGTTCAGAAAAGATTCGCAGTTATCTTGTCAACTTGTTATTTGCATATTGCCAGCACAATTCTAGTAAAATCCGCAGACTCTGAAATATGCTAATCAGGTGGGTTTCGCAGTTGCATTCAATAATTCACCGGATTCTTCAGGCGTGATGGATTTGTTTATTTTCCACTCATTTCGAAACTTTTGTTGATTTCTCCATTTCAAGTTGTTGGAAATGATCAGCCGATGAATGCGTTCTATGGAAAAAGAAAACAGTAGAATAAAAAATTATTTTAGGTGAAGTTTCAACATCTACAAATATTTAAAAACCTCAAATGAAAAATGCTACTAATTATCGGTCGCTTCAGGATCGTGCAATCAGTTTTCGTAAACCAAAGCGACTTTAAAACGTGCCTAGTTTCACCCAGCTACTGCAGATTTCTGGAGAAAATCCCGTTAACAGGCGCAATTTATAGGAAACGTTTTCAAGTAAAACGAGATTGTCCAATAAGTTTTTATTTGGCATGAAAATACGATGCTGGAAGCCTGATTACGATATCGTGCAATCTTGTGCAAACGGTGTAAGATAAAATTTTCCGGTAGGAGAAATATTCACATCAGCAGTAAATTGAGCCAAGAATATCAATTTACAACTAAAAAAATAACAAGAAAAGATGCAAACAGACCAATTAGCATATTTACGTTAATTTTCGTAAGAACTTCCACCTGATTGCTAGAACGGTAAAATTAAACACCAAATTACCAACCGAAAGTGCGGCAAGGAAAATTATTCAGACAAGTGGATAAATTGCATTTCACCGAGTAAATCTCGAATGCAAATTAAAGCAACCAAACATGAAAATGAAATTTGTTATTCGAATAATTTCCATAAAATGGTAGCAGTAAATTTCTATAAGATTTAACATGCAATGGGAGCAATAATACTGGTAGAGTTCCAACTTATCCAAAGTGCAATTTCGCTTACAAGCTCCCTGAGTGCACTAATATAAACTGTGCTGCTTTCGCTAAAGAGATTCCCGTTTTGAAATTGCAGGACTCCACGTATCTGTTGCATTAAACTTTAATATAATTCCTCTTCAAACAGTCCATTGATTCAAAGTTTCTCTAATGATAGGATGGGTTAACTTATATTTGCGGTGAAATAAATCAATTGAGAATTCTAACATGCGATTCAAACTCTTAATTAACAATACATCTGATAGAATCCGCTAGATTAAATGCAATTTGCTGGTTATAGAATTAACAATTGAAACATTATGTTTGAAGTTGAGACTTTATATTTTGCACCCTCTTTGTTATTTCAGATTACAAGCTATGTCTTGACGGTTTTGTGAATATATGAAACTCGTCGTCAAACATAAAAGAAATGAGGAACATTTGTTGAGTTTTATCGAATTAAAAAAAATCATGAGAATGTGTACATTTTGAATTGAAAGGCACCTCAGCTTGATGTTGGTTGTTGCAGTAATTGCATTTACTAGTAAAATAAACTCGCTTTCCTCCAACATGTTAAAATGTTAAATCAGAACCTTGAAGCGTAAATGAGCATATCGAAAATCCATCTCAAACCCAAACAATCCAGATTGATTCTGAAATGAAAACTGGAACGAGCGTAGATATAAGCATACAGTTCCGATGATGAGTAAATATGAAATAATAACTTCCGGGGTATTTTAATCGATAAATAAAAGCCGGCGAAGAAATATTATGCTTGTTTACTTCGCAATATGGAGTCTGTGGCTCGGCAAACTGAATTCCAAATTCTGGATAATTAAAAACTAACAGCTTGCTGGTAAAGTAGAAACTTTTCTTGAGCCGAAAATAACTAACACACAATGTTAATAGTTTCTTTCTGTTGTACTTAGTTTTTCTTCAAATTTCGGAAGAGAAATTAAATCGCTTTTTAAAATTCAAAGGTAGTTATAATGACAAGCGTTTTATAATTAAAACTTTACCATTAAATCGTCACTTCAGGCCATGTCAAGCCACAAGTAGTAATTAAAAGGACCTATCGTTAAGGAAAACTTTTCCGTAAAAACTTTGGAAGTTTCGGTTTTGTAACACAGTCGAATTCCGTTCTTCTAATGAAATCAATTCGATACAAGGGCTTGATTAAAAATGTACGTTGTGGCAAATTTCCTTTCGGTTTTGAACGTAATTTACTGAGTGGTGGTTAAATTTGCGGTTAACAGAGCCGGATAAAAGTTCCCAAGTTATTAGTAAGAACATTGTTTATTAAAAAAGCTGGCTGCTTGGGTGTCGAGGAACTTTATTTTAATGGTCAACAGTTAGCTTTTGTCGCTTTTGGCCTGTTTGAGCTAAGAGAACCAGTCACTCCCTTAGAAGATTTAACGCTTGATTTAAGACACTTTAAGAGTTTCTGAAATATACAACAGCAACTTACTTACTTACTTACTTACAACAGTATTATTTAAAAACACCTGTATTTTCAATCGTGTTTGCTTGGGTGTTGTCTTGAAGGTCATTAAAATAAGTTTGATAAATTATCGCGCTCTAAATTTTAGTTAGCATATTTTATTTCGCATTAAAAATTAAAAAAGTTTATTTGACTAATTATTTTGGCAATAATCTGTAATAAATATCGCTTCATTCAACACTCAAAGTTGTGACTTACCCATACAGTTTAAGGTAAAAATCAATATTTTAGGTGCTTTTTGGCGACATAATTAACAGTTTAATAATGTAAACTTGCTAATTAAATTTGAACATTTTAAAATTTCACACAGTTCACCCTTTATTCCTTCTGCTTAATTACCAATTAAAATTGTCGCATTTGACTAAGAGACACCGCCTCCAAATGCTAAATTGGGTCTCAAAAACATACGATCACAATTGGCCCTGACAGGATGATGACTGAACCTTAATCTTCTCCCACAAGAACTCATTCATTTATTTTTTTATATTGTCAAGTGGCGAGTGCATGCATTTTACAAATGGCAGTATATTACAGTTCCACTTACGACCGAATTTTTCGAGGAGAATATGGCCGTATGTTTCGGATTTAATTTATATCTTATTATGGAGTTAGAAGTACATTTTGGGGGAGAAAATTGAATCTAGGCCACAAATGTTCATTCAATGTTTTCCACGCTTATAGCTCTAAATAATTCAAATAGATGAGAAAATGTTGCTATTTCCAGCGTCAACAACAAACAGTTACATTCGAATTAAATTTCTCCTCCCTGATTAAAACGTACTATTTTCTAGACCGCAATTGCAATTTTTATTGAGACTTCCTCAGTTGTGCTTGAACGGAAAGCGGTTTGAAAATGCAGAAAAATATCAAATAAACTTTACAAAGAAAACCATTATGACAAAATTAATCTCACTAATGAAGACGTTCTTTCGCTCTAATGAAACGAACTAAAGAAGAAAAAACAAGATGATCGTTCAAATTCCCCTTAATAACAATTAGGTCGCCATCGTCACGAATTATCGCCCACAAAGGTTTCATTAAACGTGACGAAAGTTATTTGCGGAACATGACATCGATTGAATGTAATTTTCAGAAAATGCAAATTTTCGCGCTGCCTTGCCGCTGTCATGCTCGATCAAGTTTTAATTGCTGCTCAGAAATTATCCAATTACAGTCCAGCTTTAACATGGGTTACTTACGATTTGGATCCTTTGCTCGAGCTACTTTAGCAACAATTCGCGCAAAACTTCGAGGTCGAAGTGTTCGGAATTCAAGCAAACACCGTCAAATACTTTTCAGTTAAGAATTTCTGGTCCAGAAAATGACCTGTGTTTCCAGTAGAGAAAAGATCGTGGAAATACTGCTCGGCTTTGTTGGTTTGTCTGCAATAATATCGAAATTTTATAATATTCTCGCATGCTTTTCTTAAATTTAACATAGTCGATTTGTATAACTTTTACTGATAATAAGAAATGTCGGTTTTTTTACTTCGATAATTCTACGATAATTCTACAAACATCTTTGTCTTGTGTAATTAAATTTCAGCTTTTAGTAATTTCGACTAACTATACATTAAAACGAACATTCTTATTTAGTTAATTGTTCTGTTCCTATTCCGTATCCCTGAAAGATTAATAATTCGAAAAAAATATATGAAAAATTGTGACAAAAACTGAAGACAAAACTAAAATAAAACACTAAACCAAGTGGTGGCTATTCCATCCTAACGGAAATTGGTTTATACATTTTATTTGTACAATCGCCATCATTCAGCTACATAGCGTATTTTTAAGAAAACGGATATGAATTTAATGGTCTTTCTCGACTTTTCAAAAGCCGCAAACATAATGAATTTTGAGATATGGGCAATATTTTAGAGGCTGTCCGCTTGGGTGGAAGTGGAATAGATTAAGAGCTTATTCCGCCATTGAAAACTCAAAAGGTTTATAAAATAAGTTAGGTCGGCCTGAGCGGAATCTGGAATCATATAACCGCAAGATTTATTTCCACGCAAGATCTCCACAGCTTCTAATCCGGGCAATAAAGAATTGGGATCGAAAATTTACAACTTCATACATTTTCTAAAGTAGCGTTTTGTCAGTGAAACTTCTTCGTTCCACCAAAGTTGAATTACAACGTGATCTATGTTCTTAATCTTGGCTCTAGTTCGACGTTATAAATAAGCTGTACTTTCCTATCTCTCGAATATATGGACTCTGGATCCAGCATTTGTAACCAGAGTACAACAAAAAAACCCGCAAGATTGCAATGGAGATGGAGCGAAATCTGTTGAATTTCATTTGATAAATTATTTCAACTGAGTATATGATTTGAAGCTTTGCTGCCAAGAAATCAATTTCTTAAAATGATTTTCTTTTATTTCAGGTCATGCAGAGTCCAAGGCACATACAAGACATCCACACAGCGGAAGTGCCCATCGTCGACCAACCCGAGCTGACACCAGAACTAATTTGAGTTACGAAAAAACTGGTTCGAATGGCGATCGCTACAGGGAAATGTTTGCCAAGCAAAATACTGAAATTGTTCTCGATTGTGCAGTCAATATCAATTTCAGGTATGTAAAAACTGCGTTCATTGTGTATCAATTTCAAAGAACATTTTTTCGGATCGGAGAGATTAGAGAAAGAAGAGAAACTGTATTCCTTCTAAAAATGCAGCTCTAATGGCATTCGAAATCATCTACTTTGGAAGCAGGCAGTTATCTCGATTTTTTTACTTTTCTACATTATTCAAGCATGACAAATTGTTTGTCGCACTTTTGGAAAAATGTCCTCAACAGAACAATGATATAGTTCTCGGGTTAAACTCTAATCCGCTACCCACATCAACTTAAGCATTTCCTTTTCAAATAAAAATCCGGGCGCTTTTCACTCCAACTCTGCGCTTTTCCTTATTATTTTTTTTGTTATTTTCAATGTTTTCCAGGAGTGCATCTTTTCTGCGCTTTCCATTTCCGCCGGTTGCAAAGAACCTCGCAATAGCATACTTCAACGCACCTAAATAAGTAACTTAACTTATTCAGAGCGCTAATCTCCGGCTCCGACTTTATTTTGTGACTTATTTATGATTTACGTTTGTAATTTCCTTGAACTGAATTGTTGCATAAATATTGTCTAAGTATCTGAGAACAAATTATTTTTAAATAGAACTCAGTGCTGCTTGCTTCTGAACCATGAATGGGCAAAAGTAGCATTTCAAACCTTGTACAGGATGATTCAAAATTGGCGTCATTCCCTTTAGGACTCACTTGGAGAGTACGAGAAAAGTATGGAAAATATATTTTTTTTAAATTTCTTGAAGATATTAACAGTTGAAAATTACTTTCTTACTCAACCGTCCAGATACTAAGATTAGAGGTCTGAGGTTTAAACCCTAATAAGGAAAATATTATTTGTTTTTATTTCAATCTTTGTTACCGTTTCGCTAAGTTTTATTACGGTGTCAGTTGTTTTTGCTTGAGGAGTAATTTTTTACCGTTTGCAGAATGATTCAGCATCCAATGAAGAAAATAATGAAGTTAAAAAGAGAGACTCATTGTCTGACACCAACTTTCCTATTCTGTTTCTCTGCTTCTGAAGCTTCACATCTTCCTTGAGTGAGAATAGACAATCGCAACTAAATTTTCAATTTGATTTCAATCCGAACTCAGGTCCTATCAAAAACAGCGCAGTTTGGTATTTCCAATCGACCTCTAAAATTGATTTTTTCAATTATCGACACCCCGAAATAGTGTTTCCATTATCCCATTTATTTAGCTAGAATTTCCTCTGAGAAAATACCCTAACCCAAAGCGAAATGAATCACATCATTGAGCTTTTGATGATCAATAGCCAGCGCCCACTAACCCGAAACAGGCCATTAATTTATTCCCGTTTTGTTTCAGCACTAGCATTTGGGTGAAAGATGGACAGATGGTACAAACGATACTGAAAGACAATTCGAACAATAAACGTGTGATCGGTCATCGGTTTTTAGTGGACGCAAGTGGCAATTTGTACATTGATAATGTGCGTCTAGAGGACGATGGAAAGTGGCAATGCGAAGCTGAGGATGGATTTGGATTTGTTGTGCAAGGAAAACCGATTGTTTTGACTGTTTTGGGTAAGTTTTAGACATTTTTAACACAAGAAACACAAAGCAGATATGCAATTTTTGTCCCAGCTTTTTTTCTAACCAGTTGAACACAACTGTGATTAACACTCTGAAGCCACTAAGATTAAAGCATCCCAAGGACAGAAGCTTTTAACTGTTAGAAAATTTCAATTGCTTCATTCCTCCATTCCACAATCTGCTTTTTAGCAATATTCCCGACAACAAAACCCACAATTTTCCGGTAATATGCTTTGAAAGAATGTCAGCGCAATCTGCGAAAGACTTGCACATGACTGCATGCATAATAAATAAGTACTTCCGACCTATACGACGTTGAGAAAGCTTTTCGTCCTAATTTATCTTGCAGCGATTTTTAATTACCGCCCGTTATTAATTTACGACTGAGACCCCGAAGGATTTTTTAAATAATGCACTCTATCCTCTACCTGCGACAATTAAATTTACTCGTTAAGAATACATTGGCTGAGAGCTCTGGAAACGGGACGTTTCGCAAAAACGCGAGCAAATAGTGAATATTTTGTTAGCTTTTGCACTTGTTTAAAACCGTCCAAATCGATTTAGAAAATGGGATACTTCGTTAAATTCTTCTTTGGACAAATTCCAACTTAAGAATCTCTTGAAGGACAATTGACTATGGCGTATTATTATATCGAATAATATAAGTGGCTTCTTGATAATTCTTTGTTGCATTCTTTTGACTTCACATTTGAATCGAATGGTTCCTAAAGCCCCAAAGGAATTCTATTGAAAATTGTCATTTGCAAATTTCGAATTGCTTTTAGTGTCGACTTCCTTTAAAGGATTCGCGGTATTTTGTAAGTTTTACCGTTAAAGAGTCGGTTTCCTTGGAGCAACGTACAATATTAAAGGTAATTATAAATTGAGAGAAGTCAAAGTAAAGTTTTGAAAGGTAACACAACAGAATGGAATAAATTGGTATATCGAAAACTTATTCGCCCGAATATGGGCGAGAAATGAGCTTAATAGAACAGGGAACAAAACAGATTGAACACAATATAAAGAAACATCGAAGATTTTGCAAATAAATAAAATTGGGTTAATATGCAGAAAAAAGAAAGATTTACTCGAAACCATAACTATCTAAATGTATCTGTAATGATCATAATTATTGTCTTACTTTCTCTTGCTTCTTGCCGATGGGCCTTGCTTTGCTACTACAGAATATGTTTAATTCACCTTGAATTTTAGACAGAAAATCATAGAATATACCAAAACATTTTTAATTTATGTTTGTGAAGTATTGATTCATATGTAAAGAAAAAAATGAAAGAAAAAGTTACGTTTCCGAAAATTGATCCAAAGAAATTTAAAGCTTTGGCAAAGAAAGCTTTAAGCTTTAATGTTGGTACATATTTTGAATTTTTCCCTTATTGTAATATTTGTGATTCTTTTGAGTACCGACCGAAAACACGAGCTTTTGTTATACTGCTGCATTAAAAAAATCTTTATGTCTTCTGAACGATTTTGGTATGAGAAGTGCGCTGCCTAGATTAGAATGGATTTTAAAAGCATTTTTTCGGTCGAGCTGATATTCCGGAACGTGACCTGCATTATGTATATAAACACGGTTATGCAGGTCACATTAATGCAAAAGTTAAGCGATGTGAGACGTTACGTTCCGCGATAAATCCAAAATTTCGCTCTTAAAATGTAGTCCAATTCAATCCTAGTTTACTAATGAAACCTTTTGCTGTTTTCATTGCAAAATTATCTTAATCTGCAATAATCCCGAAAAACTAATGTGAATAGGAGAGTTGGCAGTAAGTTTTACTGCATCATAAAATACGAACAGTAATCAGTATTAGTGCGTGTTTGCAGAATAATAGGTCCATTCATCTGGATTCGAGGAGTCTATTCGGGATAAACAGACCGCTATTAAATTTTATGGATAATTAGCTTCTTTGGGTTCGAATACGACCGTCTAATGCCACAGTTAACTCGTTTATCTCTTCGTTTCCTAAATGAATTTCTTGCCATTGTAGAGAGGATACTGAGAAACAACATAATTTTCGGAAAGCTAATATATTCTTTTTGCATTTTTGCCAGGAAATAGCATTAAAACAACAAACGTGTGTTCCAATGATATCAACTAAAATTATTCAAATATACCAGCCTGGTCTAATGGCAAAACCAAATCACATGTCAACGCCGACAAACATTAACGGGTCAGCTATAATTGTTTAATTGTGTTCGCAATAATAACAAGCAGAACTGATTGAAATCAGGGATGACTTTTTGGTACATTGCTTTAGATTTATCAATAACGACATATATTTCAGACCTCAGTCGGTTTATAATTAAAACATGCTCAAAGAATGCTTTCATGTTATAAATCTTTGAATATTGCTGGTTCATGATGTAGCACTAAAACAATGCCAATAAATGGAACATTTTTCTTGCAGAAGGTTGCATCTTGAGCCATATTTGCTAAACCGACCAAAAAATATCCGAAACGGAAATAAATCGGTCAAGTTGTCCACAAGTTCATCAGTTCTGGTTCAGTCTATCGATGTTTAGCAGGGATAAATGTTTAAATCGTTTTGTAAGCACAATTTTTACAACGCCAAGCAGTGAAACCGGCAAGTGACAATATTTCTTCGAAAGCATTACTCGAAGAATCGATATATTACAGCTTGTTAGCATTTTGACAATTTTCAGAACCTTTATTGAAAATCTAATGACTTGTTTATTCTATTGAATCAGTTAAATTTTTGGATACTAATCACTTGTTTAAAACTCTTTAAGATGCACTAGTTGCTTTCAATTCACAGTTTTGCTTCCTTGTCTCACAAGCCATTTGAGATTGATTTTTATACCCATTATAATACAATTGATTACTTATTTTTCAATTAGCAGCCAAATTAAAAAATCTGCAAAAATCCAAAATGGGCCTAATGGATGGAATGCGTTTATTATTTTCGTTCAGTTCGTGAATAGCTTTTGCCATTGAGTGCGAAACCGCCACTGCTTCCAATTTATTTATTTTCTTTCAATATTGCAATAGATATTTGCTTGCTCGATTCGACCTTTAAACTTCTGGGTTTTTTTCACATCCTTTAATTTGTTATTTCTATTGAACAGGTGAAAGCATGCAGTTCTTACTCTTCATTTTCCATTAATTTTGACCTCTAAAGCATGTATTATACTACATTTTCAGCAGCAAAATGCTCCCTTCTCTGACTACTGCATAAATTTTTCATTAGTGCGCAAACTTCTTATACCAGTTTGCCCTTTCATTTCTGGGATTTCACCAACTACTTTCACATCGGCATTCCAAAACATCCCTAGCAAGTTAAAATGTATTTATTTAAAGCTTGGGCTACAAATGCTGACGATTCAATGCCGAGTTTGACTTTAACAAATCACGCAGGTTACGTTTCCCAAATCCAGCCTGGAAATTCATCGAATAAAAATCCTGTTCTAAACATTTCTCATCTACATTGTAAATAAACCGCATATTTTCAGGTACCGATAATGTCAATTTAGCCTGCAGTTTTATTCGCAATTAAAGGACCAACTCGGTCTGGGTAAACACTTCGCAGCGGTATTAAATTTTAATCTGTACTTAGGAAGGTAATATTTTCGGGTGAAAATTCGACGCTCAAATACCCAGTAAAGAAGCAATTTAGTATTGCGAAACACTTTAATAATGTTCGGTTAGTTGAGGTCTGAATTGAGCCGGGTCAATGAATTGGGCAAGTAAATTGCATTCAGTTGTGCATTGCGGGGCGGAAGGATTCGAGAAGTGGACAAAAAAAACGTTCGAAATTTTTTTCGTCAACTCGCATAAAACAAAAGCTCTGAAATCCGCATCACTCGAACTTTTTCCAATCAAGAACAGATGATTATCCAAGTTCCGGCTCCGTTTGTTTTAGTGCGACGACAACTTCTAAATCGGCATGGGAATTTTTAATCTCGATAAAATCAATAAAAATGAAAAAGGACTTTTCTGTATCGGCCAATGTTATTTCGCTTCGCAACACAGCCGATTTAAGCAGCTTTACATTGCACAAGTCATTGTGCTATGGGAACAATGGCTCCAATGGCGATTTTTGTAAATCAATGTTGCATTTACGCACATTTCAAAAACAAAAAACCCTTTTAAATCCATTTTTTTGAACAGACTTGTTAAATTGTGGATAGAAAGCACATACCATACAGATTAAATCTGCCAAAATGGCAAGAGTGCTAATTTAAAAAAATGTTTGTGTCTCCTATTGCCTATCTTCCATTGTGCGGAATGCTTTCAAAACAACTTTCTCTGTCAGATAAAGTTGTTGCTAAAAACACCCAATTAGTTACATTAATTCAGCGTATCCAAAAAAATCGCCGGGAAAACGGAGAAAATGCTTTTGAAGAGGCCACTTATGGCAACAAGCTTATGAAAACACATGCAGTGTTTGATGGGCCAAGAAAGGAAAACTCTTTTACAGCGTTGTCTCTGGCTAATACACTTACAAGCAAGTAGACCAATAATCGAGAATTAAATCACAAAATCAGGACTAAACTGAAAAATTGAGAACGCCACTGTATTTAATATATATAATATTGCCACAACAAATTAAGCAAAAAACTTGTTATTAATTATTATTTAAGAATGTTTCAGCAAGCAATTCATAAGATCTGCTGACAATTTCATGCATAAATAAATGCAAATTTACTCTAATTTCCGTTGAACGCCCTGCAGAAAAGATGCAGTGTGTGGCTATGTATGCACTCTAATTTAATTAGTGTGGTATATATGTACATTGGTTGGTTTTCCTATGGGTATCCCAAAGCAAAATTGAAATAGCGCCCTGATCAATCGCAAATATGCACACACTTCCATTTCAAAATTAATAGTGGAAACGAAAATCCCAAACTAGCAAACACGATTTTTGTTTGTGTGTTGCCCAAAGCCAAGCTTTATACTCGTTACCGAACATGCAATATTAGTTGTTTTAATATTTACTGTCCGCGTTTGGCTG